CAATTTAAAGGGGGCAAATTGGGATCTTTACTACACCTCACTGCTTTTTAGTGGGTTCCTTCTTCATCCCCCATTGATGAGCCCTAAAATTTTTCCACGTCGTTTATCCCGCAGTTTCTTCTATACCCCAAACCCAGGCAGGCATTCTCAGAAGTGATCCCTTTGGGTGGTCTCCCGTTTGTGCTCGTGCAGTCTTTGAAAGTGCTCATGGGGCAGGTCCCGGGTAAATAAACCGCTGGGGAAAATTCTTGATTTTAAGCGAAGCGTGCGATCGCTCCCCTTGTCACCGGAAGCTAAACGCACTTTTTGGCGAGACTATGTTTCCACCCCACCTCTGCTTTTTCTTGAGTGCAGTCTGGAAAAAAATGAGGAAATTGGTGGTAAAAACTTCCTGACCCGCTCCTGTTTTACGGGGCTGGTTTGATGTAGCAAAACCCCCTCGACGTTGCCATTGAACTTGGCCAAAATCTGGTCCGTATTTCCCGAGGGCTCCCTATGCCCCCCCTTTTTTTTTCCCCAAAGTTGCCAAGGGGTTAGTGCCTTGGGGCTTTTCTTTCTCAGAGAAGAACAGTATAAAGTGCCTTTTTACATTCAAGAACGGAGCAACGCTCTCAGTTCCGATCCGGGAGCTGGGGGGTGACGACTTCATTTCGATGGTTAAACATTTACATCGGTCAGCCCCTTTATCCCTTACCTCTTCAACTTATTTGGGCCCAAAGGGGTTCTTCCCAGCGTGGAAATCTGCCATTGTTCTCCCTTTCCCCCAACCGGGTATACAGGACTGATGCCCCCCCTACGCCCCCTCGCTTTATAGTGCAGTTTTCAAAGTGATGGAACGTCTCGAAACGACGTTTGATGTGGTTTTAGAGACACACAACAGTCTCTCCGTAGTCAATTTTTGGCTTTCGAAGGGGCGTTCTACCATAGACCCCCTTTCTGGCTTGGATAGTAGTTCTAATCCTTTGGAATAAACACCATTATTGCCCTATTTTTTTGACCTTGAGAAGGCTATGACAAACTTGGGGTATAATATTTTGGCCCAGGCCCATTCCTTAGGCCCCGAGGCAATCTACCCTCCCTTTTTAAGAACTTTTTAACTGCAGACATTTCCGTGTTCGAGTCAAAAGTTCTTTTCCCGGACTTTCCAACTGAAAGGGCCCTCAGGAGTTTCTAAGCACAACACTTTTTCTCCTTGCTAAAAAAGATTTTGGGCCCCTGTTTTCCCCCCAATATTTTGGGCATCACTCATGTTTGACTTTGCTATTGCTTGTGCAGGCGTGACTGTCACTTATTTGGGTTTTTCTTCAGCATGCGGTCGACCGTGTTTCCACTTGGCCCCACGCATGGGTTTTTAAAATTTTAAGACCAAAACTCACCCAAAATTTCTTTCCTAGAGCTCTGTTATCTCCGATACCTTTGTATTCTATGGCTCCCCTATCCCGAAAAGTGATACAGTCAGGTTTCTGGCCTTCTCTTTGACCTCGGTTTTCCTGGAAACCCACATAACCCCTCTGAAGGGGAACTTGTCAAGCCGGCTAAAATTTTTAAACCCTTTTCTCATCTTTTCCCGGGGGGGGGGGGGATCGTCGAACTCTGCTTCGCCCACATTCACCCTCGTTTTCGAAACCGATTTGGTGACCCAAATTTTTTCCGCGGCCTCTCCCGCTTTCTCTCTTTGCCTTAACTCTATCCTCACCAGGATTGTTTGTGCCCTTTGGGCTTTTCGCTCTTCCCCTGTTTAGAGCCTCTATGCAGAAGCGAATTTCCATCCTTGTTGTCGCCGTGATCCATTTTCCTTCGCTACTATGTACGCTCTCCGGGTCTATACAATCCTTCCCTTTTTAGAATGGTACCGATTTTTATAACATTCTTTATTTGTTCGCCCCCTTTTGCTCCCTCCCTTTCTCTTCGCCTACATTTCCTTGTTTCCCTTAGTTACCCCCTTTTTATGTTCATGTAGCATCCACTTTTCCCACCCCCTGGGAAGTTCCAGCTGTTCAGGTCTGCTCTTTTTACTCCCTGCTCGAAAGTCAAAATGCCTCGGTGGCTTCCCGCTCCTTTTTTTTGATACTTTCACTCCCCTCTCATGGGCCCCCGCTGTGTACACAGTGGCTCCCAGTTTCAACGGCGTCGGATTCGCAGCAGTGTTTCCGGACGCGTTTGTGCGGGGGGAAAAATTTTCTTCTTCAGCTGCATTTTTACTTTCTGAAAGATGCCATTCTTGCAGCACTTTTTTGTATCGCATCTAGCCTGTGTCTCATTTGTAGTAGTCTCAGACTCCCCTTTGGTCTACAGGCTTTCAAAATTTGATCATCTCATCCCCTATTCCCGTATCCAACTTTGGCTACCCCTATCTCTACCCAAATTAAAAAATTTGTTTTTTTTTGGGTTCCCCCTATGTCGAGTACAGGGCAAGAAAGGCAGACCTGCTGTGGGTCAGCAGTACAGCCCCCCAAATTTCCCATCGAGGGGTTCCATTTTTGGTATTTTGCTGCAATAGCTACCCCCTTGCACCCTTGGCAACAACGTTTGGGAACTCTGTCGGTAACAACTTCATTCATTAAAACCGAGCTGGTTACTGGCCGTCTTCTTGCATCAGTGCCCAGGGTTTGGGGACCACCTCTCCCCCTTCGCATTGGTCACACTCGTCACTCAAGGGTTCTCTGAGAGGCACCCTTTCCCCTCTGGAGCATTCAAGTTCCAGTATCGATTAGCCACTTCGTTAGACTGCCCCCCTCTATCAACGAGCACGCAGAATTTACCTAAAGTCTTTCGTTCTACTACTCTCTCTTTACCCTTTCCCCTTTTTGCTGATGGACCCTCCTTTAATCCGACTCTCTCATTGCTTTCTTGAAACGACTGATTTACTCCCCAAACTCTGATGATATTTTCGCACTCCCCCCGCCCTTTCTAGTTCAGTCTCTTGCGCCCCTTTTCCCCCTTTTACCCTCCCCTGCCCCGCTGTTACCGTAACCCATTTCTCACCATCCCCTTTTGCCACCTGATCCCTGCTTCCCTTCCCGCCCCCAGCGTGTATTTGTCCTTGTGGCTTTCCTTCTTTTTGATTATAATAAAAAATAATATAAGTAGTTTAATAGCAAATAATGAACAAACAAAAACTCACCACACTAGGGTGGGGGGGGGTGGCTGCCAGTTGCGGGGGCAAGGGGGGGTATAGGGGGCTCGCAGGTGGCGGGAAACTAAAAATGATTTGGAGCTGGGGAATTTTGGTGGTGGGAATTTTTGGGAGTTGGGAATTGGCGAATGTGTGAAGCCCCTGAAAATTGAAAAATGAATGTTGAGGGAGACCTTTTTAACCCCAAACCCCCCTGGGTTTTCTTCTGTTTTCTTTATTTTTCTGTTTTTTTTTTCTGTCATCTCCCCGGAAATGGCAGAATTCTCCCCTGTAACCCATGCTGTTGTAAGAAGCAAAATAAAATGCCGGGAGCAAGGGCTAGTAAACCCTTCTCCGTTTTATTACTAAATTTAATTGAAGCTTTCGTTTTTTTTTTTTTGGGCCCCCCGCCCAGTGGGATACACGGGTTTTTTGAAAGATGATTAATGTGGTGCATGCGGACAAAAACTAATCTTTTCCCAACAAATTCATGCTTTTTATGCATAACAAAAAAAAATTCCATACAGTCATACAAGAAACATATTTAATCATAGTTTTCAGGCTTTTTTGTGTTTTAGTACCTTCCATACCGTGGCAGCATTACAGCTATCAACTGATTGCAAAGTTTATTTTTTCTCCTTGATGTCTTTGTCTTGGTGAAATCATTCACTGTGGGGTTCTATTTAACAGAAACTAGTACATATAGGAGCAAAGCTAATTTGAATTCAGCATTCCAAAATTAGTTAAAAGCCCATTTTACTAAATGTGATGAAGTTCATCACCAAAAACAGTGACTCCTTTTAATATGTGAAAATACTTAATTAATACTGCATAGTCAAATTTTTCAGACAGTCAAAAGTTTAATGGAATTCCAAGAGTTTCAGAACCTCGTTTTCTTTATTTTTTGGTGCTGTTCAAGTCACAAACTAATCTAGTTCAGGTCTTAATCCGACAAATTCTTTCTAATATGTTTAGAAAACCTGCTTCTCTACTAGTCATGCTGGGTGCACCATCAGTTGTCACAGAAACAGTTTTTGAAGAAAAGTCAATCTGTTGATTAGACAGTTCATTTATTACTGCCTTACATATTGCAGTTTCTGGGTATGTTCAAGTAAAGTTAGAGTCAACCAAAATTGGGGAATAATGGCCAATCTAGCTGATGATGTATCATCAGTACTCTTATCTTTTGTGAGCTACTGTACCATGTTTCCATCCTTAACCCTTAAACTGTCCAAACGTAGATCTACATTCATGTGCATAGCGCTCCGACCTTGATTTTCCCCATTTGAAAGCATGTAATAAAAACATAGATCTACGTTCGGAGCCCCCCACACGTGGACGTAAATCTATGTTTGGACAGTTTAAGGGTTAATATTCTATCTTTTACTGTGTAATGTGCTAAATATTTTTTTCTGGAAAAAAAAAAGAAAAAGAAAAGGGGCATATTCTAGCCCTGATTCTTTAATATATTCTTCACCACTGAGCTTTCCATTTTTTGAAAAGAAACTTTGAAATCCCAAAACCAGCAGGAACTAAGTTGGAACTACCTGAAACAAATTTCATAAAAACATTCGACTATTTTTTCATTCCTTGTTTCCTGAAAAGTGTGTCCTAACTTAAGATGATGGTCAGAATCGAGACAAAAAAAAAGATGTTGGCATGGCAGTACAGACAGTACAAGTTTTTTTTTTGTGCCACCTTGGGTGCACAATTCATAGATTTGCCACCTTGCCCTAGACACTCCTTGATCATTCAAAGTTTGGAACTCCCATCTAAATATAAAATAGGATGTTTATAAAGACGACTATAGTTGCAAGCGTACAAATTTTCCCACTTAACACCTTCAAAAACTAATTAGAAATGATTAATATACTTTTGTTTACAGGTGAAATTCAGTGTTATGCATCCACATACACATGTTTATGCTCATACTGGTCCCACCAACTGCCGTCTACGTGCTCACTTGGGTTTGGTGGTGCCAGATGGTCTCCGTCTGCGAGTTGGGACTGAAGTGACCTCGTGGCAAGAAGGTAAAATCTTCATATTTGATGATAGCTGGGAACATGAAGTGTGGCATGAAGGAGATTCATATCGGCTAGTATTGATTGTAGATGTATGGCATCCAGAACTGACAGAAGAAGAGAGAAACACACTGGTACCTATATGAACAACTGTACACTTCTTAAGTGAATCTGAATTTCTCGGTAGAGATTTTTTAAGCTACTGTCGTAATGAGGTATGGATAGTGGTGATTTTATTCTTAAACTTGCCATCTTCATGCAGAAGATGCTACCAAAATATTTTGAACAAAGCAAAACTAAATATTTGCATAGACCACAATTTAATGTATTAAATGTAGCCAAAAATCTTTTACATATGATCAAATTTATATGCAAAGAAATACTGTAGTTAATAGTTTTCATTTGGCATTAGGCCTGTCACTGTGATAATTTATTTGGTCTTGTCTTAATTGTTCAGTATCAAAGTACTAACCACTGTTACCATTGCAATTATTATTATAAGTGCTAAATGACAAGGGTCAAACAGCATTTTCCATTGCAAACTGCAGTTCCCCACACTGTAAAGCACTGCTGTAATAGAGTTCTTGTCAGGTTTCTTCATTAATTTTGCTATTGTACATGTCCCTTTAGCAACTAATAATAAATGAATAATACTTTCTAAAAAATTTTAAGCTTTGTATAGACAATTTTCTTTAGTAGACTGAAATCTCTTATTTAGGACTAGTCTTAGAATCTGTAAAATTTAATTACAAATGATCGTCTAAAGTTTAAATTGAATGTAAAAAGTTTTCAAAAAAAATCAGTTTTTATATTCAACATTTGGTTTTCAATTGGTTCCCAAATGATTTAACTACATTCATGACCCTTATGGGTTTAACCTATAAGGGTCATGGATACCAAATGAATTTGCCTTCAGAAGAATGGTGTAGTACAACTTACTGTTAACACAATTTGAAATGGAGGCCAGACATTTTTGAATGTCCTAGACCATCATAAATTTAATAATGGTTCAGGACAGCAAATGACTAGTTCCATTTCTTATTTTAGTGTTAGGTGTGAATTGTTCTATTCATGGTATAACTTATTCTTCACATATATAATAGGAGTATGAATTAAGGAGTTTTCAGAAAGAAAACCAGTATCTTTTTTTTTTCACATGCTGACAAGTTATGATACTCAAAACTTGGTGGCCACAATGTCACTGTCCCTACACTTGTCCACTTACTGTAGATATTGGGATACAATGCAGTCCTAAAACTGACAATGCAGGGAAACATTAAAAGTTATTGCAATTATTAAATGAAATTTTGATTAGTTGATATTAAATAATTGCATAATTTGAGAGGGTTTGTATGCTTTTAATTACAAACTGTATGTACAGGGTGTTTACAGTGTCCTTTTTGTATTTTGAAGAAAAAATTATTTATATAGATATGAAAATGAAGTTCTCTGGCAGACTGGGTGGGTATAATGGCCACCATGCTTCCTTGATATCACGCCTTCAGACTTCTCGTAAGGGTTTGTTAAGGCTTGTTTTCCAGATACCAGTAACTATGTAGGCCATTTGTAGAATGAACTGGAGTAGAGATTACCTGTGTTACTGACTACTAGAAGTGCACATATTGAGGTTGCATAGATCAAACAACTGTGAAGCTGTATAATAGTACACTTCTCACTTGTGCAGTACTGCATTGTAGTATGTTACCATTTTATTAAAAAAAAAAATATTGAATCAGAAAAAGTACTTTGTGGATATATATATACACACATTAAGCACACTAACATTTTTAAACAAGTCTGTCAAGCAAGGCAAACCTTGCTAAACGTGCATTTGTGAATTTTTTCTTATATGTTAACATACATTTTCATGAATTAAAATGTAATTTTTAATATTCTACCAAAACTAACCAACCTAATTTTTGTACAGATCATTTTAGGTCATCCTAAATTTATTTCATGATCAGTGCAAAATGAAGTAAACTACGATTTTGAGACAGGAGTTCCACCAAGCTGTTGTAACAATAAATTTACACTCCATTACTTTGCCAAAACTAGTGGACTGTAAGTTCAGAATTATAAACTGGACTTATTACTCAGAACATTAAATCTGCAAAAATAGGTCAAAAAATATTAAAAATTTTTTAAAATGAATAAGAACTTTGTGAACACTATGTATTTCACTGGTGTTAAACAGTTATAGTTTAAATTTAGGATATGTAAGACTAAGCTAATTTACAATTTTAACAAGGTTAGTTTGTTCCTAAGTTAGTTTTGATGCAAAATTTAAAATATGAATATATTCATTGCAAAATATATCTTAATGAATAAAAAAAAATTGTGAAAAGGTTTATTTTAAGGGAAGTTCAGCTTGTAAGCTGATTGTTCCTAAAACACACACACAGTGTTGCATTAACTTATTTAGGATGGGCTTGTAAATAAATTGGTATGCACAAAAAAATAATTACAGAATTTTAATTGGTGCTCTTTAATAAATTCCTAAAAGAAAATAATTTGGTGCTTGAGATCTAGAATACCGTATATTTCATTAGAATTATTGAAGTATCTACATATTTAAGCTACAGGAGCAATGTAGTATGTAGTTGCTTGAAAGTACATTTTTGGGGTTTCAATTTCACATGCTCTGCTAGTCAGGACCAGATGCTTATTGGTCAGACAACTTCCTAGGTGCCTTACCACTGCTCAAATGTTCAGGGTCAGTGGCAAAGTGTTTGCTTGTTTAACACCCAATTTTTAATGTTACAGCTTTGAAAAGAAAGATTTCCATATGTTTAACCTGAAATTAAATGTCTTTACTAGTGCTCACATGCAAGATGAAAATTTCATACATGAAATAATGTGCTTATTACCATAAATTTAAAAGTTTATATTTGTTTCTGTGCATGCAATTGTGCATGATTATTTATCTGTTCCCTTTTTTTTGCCAGTGCATGTATATATGCTTTGTGTCTGTATATATGTGTTTACACATACTGTACAGTATGTATCTTTGTGAGCACCCAACTGTCCAGTTTTTTTTAAAAAGCATTTTCAATTTTTATGGCCTTTGTACTACACAGAAATATACATAAAGGTAAGGCCTGATCAAAACTTATAGAAAAATGTTAATGGTGCCCTATTTTTTTATTGAAAATAATTACAATTGCACTGTTAATTGTATGGTCCACACGGATTAGTGCTAGTTTTCAAATATAATAATTTGTACATTAAACAGGCCTTTTGTGTCTTAATTTTTATCATTTCATCTGCAAATCACTCAAATTTTGGTAATGTATTTTATTTAAAAGAAATATATGCATAAAATTTAAGAGGGAGGTTTTTAAGAGGTATGCAGGGCTAGGATTTTACCATGAAATATAATTTACAGGGTAGCATTTCTTATGTATTTCAGCCTGGTATCTACTGTATTAGTGTAAATTCCCTCAAAAAAAAAGTGTTGACTAACAAAAACTTGTCTAGAAGATAGAAACGGGGGTATTTTTTATTTTTTATATATTTATTTTAAATTAATAAAAACTATTCTTTAAAGGGGTAAATGGGTCTTCTATTATTCTCCAAAATTTGAAATTTTTAACAAGGTTTGGTTTTTTCTTAATTTAAGGATTTTTTTTTTTTAAAAGGGGGAATTTTTATTTTAAATTTATTAACCATTTAAAAAAAATTGCTGATGAAAAATGCGTGATAGTGTGGAATAAAAAGCAGGGAAAACTTAAGTGTCAGTCTTAATCCCCTTTTCCCTTTAAATTTCCCTTTTAACAACAACTTTGGCTATGTTAGAGCATAGGTCAAATTTTCCAAAATAAAGAGACCTCCACCAGCATCAAGGAACCTCCCTTGAAGAGAACATGGTTAATTTTTTTTTTTTTATTTTTAAAGACTTTGGGCTTTTCCCCAAACAAAGGGCAGGGTAGCCTAAAAAAAGAAAAATTTCATATTCACTCCTTCCTGCTTGTCAGGGGCGTGTTAAAATACAGTTTTTAAAAACGCAACATTAACACCCCCCCTTCAGAGTGCAGGCACGGCCCCCCCCAATCTCCAGGACTTAAAGTCCACCCTTCCAGTTTCCTTAAAATCCCTTAAATAAATGTTACCGTGCTCCCCCTCCAACAATGTCATTTCAAAAAAAAACATTTTTTCTCCTTCGCCCCTTTCAAAACACGCTCAGCATGTTTGCTGAAAGTTAAAAACCCCCTCCCCCCCCAAAACCCCCTTTTAAAACCCCCCTCCCCCAACCGTTTTTTTCCAATATTTTTTTAAAATAAAAATACAAAACCATTTCCAAAAAAACCAAATACCCCCATCTGCTTTTTAACATTTTTTGTCTATTTTAATAAAATCCCACCCTGTTTTAAACCCCCCTTTTTGCGGGCACTGTATGCCCCCTTGAAGGTTTAGAAACTTTTTTTTTAAATTAAAAAAATTAACCCCCTTTCTTTAAAAACCCACTCCCCTCATGCATTTTTCCCCCCTACTCACAACTGGTTCTCCTCACCCCTACAAGATGTTTTTTCCTCCTTGCCCTTACAAAAATTCCCCACCTTCCCTGTCTGCATCAACATTTTAAAGTTCCTGAAAAATTCCCCCCATCTTCCCAATACCCAACCTCCATTTAATAACCCCTTTTTTTTAACTATAAAATTCCATTCTTTCCCTAGGCTTTCTCAACTTTTTAAATCCCCACTCCAAAACTTTTTTTTTTTAAAAAAAATTTTTGTTGTTAAAATCTCACCCATTTCTCATTTCTCTTTTTTTAAACATTGCTTCAAAAACCCTCTTTTAAAACCTCTGTTTCTTCCATAAAAGCCTCCCCCCTTTAAACATCATTTTCCATTATCAAAATCAAAACTAAGTCCCTAAACCCAAAAATTTCCCAAATTTAAAGATGGAGTTTTTTTAAAAAAAGAAAATGTGGGGTTTCTGTGGAGAATGTGGGTTTAAAAAGATGAATCTTTTATGAAGTGGACACTGTCAAAATTTCCCCCTCTTTGTAAATTTGATAGTTTTTTTTGGAAGAAAAAAATTTTCCAAAAGGGTTTGGGGAAAAATTTTGGAAGAGTATCAAAAACCAGGGAAAAATTTAAATATAATAAAAATTAAGCACAAAAAAACCAAAAAAGTCTTTAATATATTTGTGGGGGGGAATGTACTAAAAAAGGGAAAATTTTGCAAGGTTAGAGACGTGGGGGGTAGGAGTGTGCAAGACACAATTTTAAAGGGGAACTAGTGGCGGATGCAAAAGTTGGTGATTATTATTCTTTTTTTCTTTAAACATCCAGCCATATCCCACCGAGAGGGGGTGGCCCAAAAGAAAAAATAAAGTTTCTCCTTTTAAAGCTGTATAGTCCTTGGGCCCTTAGCACTTCTTTTTGATTATAAAAAAATTCCCCTTTTAAATTTAGAATTTTACAGAAGGGGTTACTAGCCCTTGCCCCCGGGCTTTTTGGGTCCGCCTTTTACAAACCACCCCTGGCACAGAGGAAAATTC